TATAGGAACTAAGCTAATACAAAAATTGATTTAACCCATAGGATCCTGGCAGAGGCAAAAGAAAATCATTCTGAAGAGTAACTAGAGCACACAGAGTAAATAAACCACAGTGAAGGAGAGTCAGGAATATGGCAGACAGTTAGTAGCCCCCCTTACATCTCCCCAAGAATAGGAGATGCAAGGAATGTCTGAGAGAATCTATAAAATACTGAAGAAAGAAGACACTGAAATCAAAAAGCAAGAGTTAGACAATATGTAAGAACAGGTGGGTCTGGAAGATAAACATGAAAAGGATTCTAACTTAAAGCATGCCAGTCAGCTAAATAATAGTTTAGATAAAGACAAAGAAAAAAAGGAAATGGAAAATCTAGAGATGTTGGGATGTGGGAGATAGAATTATATATAACAGAAGCCCCAAATAAGAAAACCAGATAATTGGGGACAGGCAGTATTCAAAGTGTTTTCCACACAGGAAGATAAACTTTTGAGTTACAGTGGCTTTCCAGGTCTGAGCAGCAAAGCAGGGTATAAAATCAAATCTACACCTAAGTGTTGCAACAGAACTGCAGAACACTAAAGACAGAGTAATTCTAAAAGCATCTAGAAGGAAAAAGACAGATTACCTGTGGGGCGCCTGGGTGGCTCAGTGGGTTAAAGCCTCTGCCTTCGGCTCAGGTCATGATCTCAGGGTCCTGGGATTGAGCCCCGAGTCGGGCTCTCTGCTCAGTGGGGAGCCTGCTTCCCTTCCTCTCTCTCTGCCTGCCTCTCTGCCTACTTGTGATCTCTGTCAAATAAATAAAATCTTTAAAAAAAAAAAAAGAGTACCTGTGATGAACTAGTCCTCTAAATGAGTAGATAATTAAACAGAATATAAAAAAGAAGAAACAAAGAAGGAGCAAAGAAAACTGTGATACATGAGAAGTATAAAATAAATGACACTACTTAGACATATGTTAGAACATGATTAAGTATTAGTTGTGTTGCATATATATGTAAAACAAAAGTATGACAGGGATGGGAGATTATTTCTTTTTTGTTATTTTATTTTATTTTTTCAGTGTTCCAAGATTCATTGTTTATGCACCACACCCAGTGCTCCATGTAATACATGCCCTCCTTAATACCCACCACCAGGCTCACCCATCCCCCACCTCCCTCCCCTTCATACCCTGTTTGTTTCTCAGAGTCCACAGTCTCTCATGGTTCTTCTCCCCCTCTGACTTCCCCCAATTCACTTTTCCTTTCCTTCTCCTAATGTCCTCCATGTTATTCCTTATGCTCCACAAATAAGTGAAACCATATGATAATTGACTCTTCTTGACTTATTTCACTCAACATAATCTCCTCCAGTCCTGTCCATGTTGATACAAAAGTTGGATATTCATCTTTTCTGAGGGAGGCATAATATTCCATTGTATATATGGACCATATCTTCTTATCCATACGTCTGTTGAAGGGCATCTTGGCTCTTTCCACAGTCCGGTGACTGTGGCCATTGTTGCTATGAACATTGGGGTACAGGTGGCCCTTCTTTTCGCTACATCTGTATCTTTGGGATAAACACCCAGTAGTGCAATTGCAAGGTCATAGGGTAGCTCTATTTTCAATTTCTTAAGGAATCTCCACACTCTTTTCCAAAGTGGCTGCACCAACTTGCATTCCCACCAATAGTGTAAAAGGGTTCCCCTTTCTCCACAGCCTCTCCAGCACTTCTTGTTTCCTGTCTTGTTAATTTTGGCCATTCTAACTGGTGTCAGGTGGTATCTCAATGTGGTTTTGATTTGAATCTCCCTGATGACTAATGATGATGATCATTTTTTCATCTGTCTGTTAGCCATTTGTATGTCTTCACTGGAGAAATGTCTGTTCATGTCTTCTGCCCATTTTTTGATGTGATTATCTGTTTTTTTGAGTGTTGAGTTTGAGAAGTTCTGTATAGATCTTGAATATCAGCCCTTTGTCTTTAGTGTCATTTGCAAATATCTGATGGGAGATTATAACCTTGTTACACTAGAAGGGAAAAGAATGGGAGGAATATAAGGGACTTTATATTTGAGATTTTATTGTTTTGTTAAAATATGAAGTAGGGGTGCCTGACTGGCTCAGTCAGAGGAGCATGGGACTCTTGACCTCAAGGTCGTGAGTTCAAGCCACACACTAGGTGTGGAGATTACAAAAAAAAAAAATATATATATATATATATATTTAAAAATTTTTTTGAAGTGGTTCTCACCAGGACAGGACTTGGTGTGAGAGTGCAAATGGAGACCAAGTACCCTGTCTGAGTATGTGAAAGTTGTAATTCAAGCTGACAAATAGCCATATACCTCGATTAATATACCTTCAAAAAGACTGTGATGCTTTGTGATTCCCAGATTCTCTGGGGGTTGGAGCCAGAAAGTGGTGGCATGGAGAAGAGTTAGCAGACCCCAGCTCTGTCTTGCACTGGGAGGGAGTTGCACACATGTGTTTGGACATCCTTGTCCATTCATGTCCCATGCGAAGAACCACCCATTGGCCACCCACAGGCCTAGGAGAGTGCACAACACCTATAGGATCTGCTCTTAGGAAGATGGAGCTAGTGAGGAAGTCAGGCTGGCCTTGGATGCCAGCTTGGAGAGATGTTGCTCAACAGGGATTTCTGGTGTCCCAGATTCCTGAGCCGGAGGACAGGTATGGCCTCTGGGTGGACATGTCTCGTTGGCTCTGTGGAGTCTTTGCCACCTGGCAGGAAGGGCTGCAGGACAGAGTGGATCCCTCTAAAACAAGGGGTCAAGTGGTAGACCGATCGTTTGCTAAAGCTGAATAGGTTGGTGGACATTCACTGTACTGGTTTCGATGAGTTTGGAGTGTTTTGTTATAAAAAAGAGAGAAGCATATACCATTTCACGAGGAAATTAGGGACATCTGCCCGGTGCAGAGGCAGGGGCAGGAACAGTGCCGGTAACACATCCTGTGACCTTTGTATTTGGTACAGCTGAGTCTCCTCACCTGCCCAGTGATAGACCAATGTGTGTGATTTCCCACTTCTGTGGTCCTGCGACATTCTCATTGCCACACAGAGCTTTTGGACCTGAGCGTGGAAGACAGGGATGGCCAGGGCAGAGGAGGGGTGTGCTAGCAGAGCGTAGGCTGAGTCCGTCTACCAGGTTCCTGGGGAGCAAGTGCCTTTTCCTTACCACAACCTGGCTGGAAAGCCTGCCCTTGGGAGCCCAGCCTTTGGGAGCCCCCTCTTCACATACGCCCTGGGCAGAGCCTGGCAGTGCCCTCCATGGAGGCACATGACCTCTCTGGTCACACAGAGAGGACAGCCCTTCATTACCCTCCCCCTGTCCTAAAAGCAGCCAGCACAGGGAGCCCCAGCCTGTCGAGGGCAGTGAGCTCCTGGAGGGACGGCACACTCACGGGCTCCTCCTCGTTCATTGGCTCCTGTCTGCCTACTGGCCAGGGCAGTTGCTCATCAGGGCCTGGTGAGATTAATTTGGCCCATGGAAGAAAAAGACATGAGAGAGAAGGGAAAGCCAGTGTGAAGGGATAGAAAAAGTGTTTTTCCTCATCAGCCATTTTGCCAAGCTTAGCTAGCTGAGGCTCACCTTTAATTGGTGATGAATTAAACATTGTCCTTTCAACGAACATAATCAGAAAATGTTCTCTTCTGGAAACTCAGGGGCAAAATGAACTTCAGCTCTGAGAACTATTGAGAATACCTTGGGCCCCGTTCTTCTTTTTGAGGCCCTTGAGGTCACTGTGAAGTGGACTCCGCTCAGGAGACCATCTTCCTCCGGCTCAAGGCCCACAAACACTGGGAGCGGGGAGGTGCCTGGGACAGCAGGCAGCCGCAGCTTCTGTGCCCTCACGTTCCCACAAACAGCAGATCGGGATGGATTTGTCTGCTATGGCTGCTGTTGCGAAGTACCACAGACTGAGTGACTTAGCAAGGATTTATTTTCTCCCACTTCCCGAGGCTGGCCGTCCCACATCAAGGTGTTGGCAGTGTTTGGTCCTTCTGAGGCTGGTTGATGGCTGTCTTCTTTGTCTTCATATGCACTTCCTTCTGTGGGTTGTCTGTATCCTAATCTCATCTCCTCAAGAGGACACCAGTCACCTTGGATTAAGCCCCACCCTAATGACCCCATTTCACTTAATCACCACTTTAAAGACTGTGTCTCCAAATACAGTCGCATTCCCAAGTAACTGGGGATTACTACTTCAATATATGCATTTGGGGGGAACACAGTTCAGCCCGTATCAGAGGGCAGTGGCAAACTCCCACACCCCAGGAATCTCCTGGGGCAAGCAAAGTGACATTGTAATGATAAGAAAGCAAAGCCCTCTGGCCTACCTGGGCAATTTTAAAGCACCCCCCTTTTGCTTTGGAAGAATAAACAACAGCTATGCTCCATATTTCCTTAGAGTGGTGGCAAACTTGGAGGGAGTCATTTCAGGAGAGGCAAGGAGAGAGTTTCTAATCCTTGTGTTTTACAAGAAAGCTCACCTTTATATTCACTGTTTCAAAATAACAAGTTGTGCAGAAAGAAATCAGTCTCTTGCTGGGGACCCAAGGACCTGGGGGAGGCTTTTGCCCTTGGTAGAGTTTATTGGCTCTGGGAGAGGTGGCTGCAGGTGGAACAGAGGCTCTAAGACATTTACCCTAGAAACAGATCAGTGCTTGCAGAAGCGTTCTGGAAAGCCAAGGGTGTTCCTGGTATGAAAGGGCACTTGTAGTGCACTTCAATTAAAGAGGAAGGCAGCGTTGAGAGGCATTATGTACAGGATAGACTGGAAACAGAGCGCCTTTTAGAAGAAGGAGCGGTGCACTCAAGGTGTCGAGATAGCATCTACTGTAAATAATAGAGCTGCTTGCCAACCTGGATGTTTTTCCTGATGTGAGGAAGCCTTTTCCCTTGTCTGTTTTATTTTTGCAACCTCGAGTCCCTGGGTGAGGCCCTTTGAGAGGTGTTCCCATGAACTGGGACTGACTGCGTTTGATCTACCTGCAGGATGAATGAACGTGACCGCCTACTGAAGAGGCTCAGCCGGAAGACACCCCCCACTCTCTTCCGGGGAGGCTCCATCCATCAGTGTGTCCCCCGTAAGTAGCCCCTGGCCATATCCGCTCAGCCCAACCCCAGGGCGGTGGCTTCAGTAAAGCCTCCTGGTGCTGATAGGGCTGGAAACTGATGCCAAGCCTGAGCCCCACATTTGGAAGTGGAATTTGTGAGTTTGGCCGGAGGCGAGCGTGGCTTGAGTGTAGAAAATTCCCTGGACCCAATCAAATGTCTGAATGACAAAATCCTGAAACTTAAAATCCTGATGTGGTCGAGATCCTTCTGTCAGCCTCCTAAAAAGATTTTGTTCTGAGACTGAAATTATGTTACTTTTAGATTATTGCCCCCAAAGATAGCAATAGGCACTATTTTAGTTAAAATTAGCTTAATTAATTGAAACAATGACAATCACCGAGGGGGAAAAAAAAAATCTCTGTACTTTTCCCAGGAAGGCTGCCTGAGTCTAGCCTGGGTGCCCCCCCTCAACACCAGAGGCCAGGCCTGGTTTCTGCTGAAGAGACCAGACCTAGATGAGGTGGGGAGCAGAGGGGATGTGCCAGACTCCAGGGGAGGGGGCAGGAGGCCTTGAAAAAGAGATGGCTGGCAGAGCTCACAGGGGTTGGGGGGGCTTTTTCAGCCATTCAGCCACTTGACTCCCCGCTGGGGGGCATTTGTTAGCACAGGTTTCCTTCTGGAGGGGCTTATCTCTGCCTTCCCCAAGGTGAGGTCTCTTGGCATGTTGTCTGTCCCCTGCTTCTGCCCCTCCGAATCCCACATCTTTTCCCAGAACCCCCTCTCTTGCACGTGCACATCGCATCTTTTCAGCAACACTGCTTTCTGCTTCCCTTTCTCTCCCTGAGGTGTTCAGAAGGAAACGAGAATGGTTTAGAAGTGCAGAATCCTTGTACCCATAGTATAGGTAGGAGGGGTCTGTGTCATGCTCGGTTGAGCTCCACCCATCAGCAGATCTTCACAGATTTTCTAACAGAGAGAAGGAAAGGGATGGTCTCCTTTTCCTTACTTTCCAACATGGAATACCAACATGGCAGAGACCAACTCCATGTGGCGCCCCACACGCTTCATGTCCCATCCCAGGGATGGTATCAGCCCGGAGAGCACCTGGCAGAGGCTTAGGTCAATGTAGTAACCGGCCCAGCGAGGCCCGGTGAGCTGGGTCCCAACCAAGGTCTCTCTGAGCCAGGAAAGCGGTCCTGTCAGGAAGTTTGATGGTCTAGTCCAGGGAGCGAGGTCTGGGGGGCCCTGTTTCTGGAGCTGGGCTGCCCCAGGGTCCTGTTCCAGCTCTGTCACAGTTTTGTGCACTTAGGTAAGTTAACCTCTTGTTTCTGTATCTGTAAAATGGAGATGATGTAAGAACTGGGTTTTGGGGGAGAATTAAATTCAATCATTTATATGAAGACCCTAAAATAGTACCTGCCAATATGGAGTCCAGTAACTGTGAGATATGACTGGGTCTTTTCTGCCACTAGTTGACTAACTTTGGGTGACATACATACTTCTCTAAACTTCTGTTTCCTCCACTGGGGGGACAAAAAGAAATCTAATAATATATATCTAAAAGGGAAAAAAATAACAATACACATCTGACACAGTCTTTGTGAGGCTTCAAGACAATGTATATAAAGCACCTTCTCTCTAACAGGCACAGAGAAAATGAGGACTGGTTCTGTAAACTGGGGGGTTCATGCCAAAGAGCCCTGCTGCTTCTCTAATAACTATTTCAGAATAATTCTAGGAAGAATATGTAAGATACATATATTGAGATCAAAGACCATGTAAGAACTTATATGGAAGCGTCATAAAATGTCTTAAAACAACTACTAAAAAATTTTTCTTAACTTAGGATTTTGAAGAACAAAAGAAAATCAGAATGAACAAGTATAAGAAATTTTAAAAGCCTTTAAGATCACACCACTATTTTTAAAACACCTAGCAATAGTAAGAAACTGATTTGATAACCAAACATTCTGTCAGGAACTAGAAAGGCCAGAAGTACTCCCGGCCTGTGAGAAGTTCTGCATTCTTCTCTCAGCCTCTGCCTAGCTATCTCTCCTGTGTCTGCCTGCCCACTGTCTTGGGCCTGTCTTCCCAGAAAGCTGGAAGGGAAGCTCATCTTGGCGGTATTTGTATTTCTCTACAGGATACCAACACACAGTATTTATAACTGAGATCAGCATTTCCTACTGTCATATCCTTGTCGTCCTCATGGTCCTCATGGTCATTCCCACTTCTGTTCCTTTTAGGGATCTTTTTCCAGACAGGAAACTTCTACTCTCATGAAGATGTTATCAGAGCTACTTAAGGGGAGTTTTATTCTAAAATAATGAAAAAAAAAAAAAAGAGGTGGTTTTATGGACTTCACCAAATGTTCTCTTGGGAGAACACAAAACAGCAAAGACACTCCCATCCCCTTCCATCTCCTTGCCTTACCCCATTCTGCTCCCAGTTTCTGGCTGCAGCTGAGCATTTAAGAAGTCAGCCCAGGGAATTTCAGGAGTTGGGTCCATGAATGTCTTTCCCCAGGCCCCTATCATTACTTTGTGGCTGTCAGGACTTCCTGAAAGATGAATGAAAGTGGGAATGGGAAAAAGCTGGAAGCTTCCTTTGAGCTCCCCATTTGTATGCAAATGGCGGCTCAGTGTCCATCAGGCAGAAGCTGGTGACCTGATGGTGCATCAGACTGAGGGGTATAGACTAGACAGGCGGAGGCTAGTTGGGTGGTTATAGTCTCTCTTGCCCCTCTAAAGTGTTTCCCATTATAGCCCTAACTCCCACCAGGCCTGGTTTCTGAGAGGAAAATATTGTATCTGAACCAGGAGACACCCCTGTCCCAGGATAACTCTACCAAGCCATCCTCTTTTCCTTCTTGAGTTGCAGAGTTCACTTTAAGTGTCTGCGGAGGCTAAGAAAGTCTAGTGAGGAAAGTCTTAGTGCACAAATTCTGGAAACATGATGGTAGACACAACCAAAAGGGGACTGCTGGACAAACCCTTTGGTCATGACCTCTGGGTCTCAGCTTACCGCAAGAGAAGAGATTTGCTTGGGAAGGTCCTCTCAAGTGGACACCCAGAAGCCCTTCCCAGTCTGGAGTGGCTGAGTAATCCCAGCGGAAGGCCCTGTGCCAGTGAGACAAATACAAGCCACAGATGCCTTACAGCTCTCAGCTTTGTCTCTGCCTCAGTAGGCATAGGCAGAATGTGAATGAAAAACAGAGTAAGTGAGACAAGTAAGAACTTTTCCTTCGTTCCTTCCACCTGACCAAGGAGTAGACGATTCCAGATGCTCAGCTACCTTTCCCAAAAGGACACTCCCAAACAATGTTTGCTTTTTTGTCTCAGGGAGTCCCCTTCATTTCTTCCTCTCTGCCAGGAACCCTCTCCAAGAAGCCCACCAAAAAAAGACAGGTAGCAGCTGTTCTGTTTGGATGTGTTGTTGTGACAGGTTCCCTTCTTCTCTGGTAAGGGGGTGGAGGCTTCCTCCGTTGGTGCTGAGTGTGGATTGGCCCTGAACGAAGGAGAGGGTTCTGTGGCCTGGATGTTGTTAGCCATGGAAAAGCCTGGCACCCACTGGGAGGGTGGGAGCTCTGAGGGAACCTGGACCTGACCTGGTGCAGGCCCTTTATTTCACAGATATAGTAAACTAAGAAGACCCAGAAAACTTAAAGAACCCACGGTCCTGTCGCCAATTACTGCCGCGCAAGGATTAGAACCATCCTTCTTGCCTCAGGGCGTGGGCCCCAGATCCAAGATAAAAGCAGAGCAGGTGGAGAAGGCCACCTTCAGCCTTCTGCCTGCCACCAGAACAGCTCAAGGAGAGCACTTAGAAGGGGCTCCCACTGCTTGGGATCAGAGCCACTGATGCCAGGTTGGGGAGGCACGGCAGGCCACAGACGACCACTGCATGGCCTTCACAGGAAAATATCAGATACTTACTAAAAATGTTCCCTTTAAAGACCAGAGAATAAAAATGATCCATACTGACCACAGAACACAATCTTGTGACTGGAGGAGACAGTGTTGTTTGCTAGATTCTGCTTTGAAACATCCCAAGGGAAGGCGTCTGGTCTCGGACTGCAGTCAGAAAGCTGCACAAGGACCACCTTGTCCTAGAGGATCCACCATAGCACAGGCGAGGGAGGGAGCTGGCCCGCAGCAGCCGGACAAAGGACGGCTCCTTGGCCTCACTGATCAAGCAACTCATCAGGGGAAATCTAAAAGTTCTCAGAGAACGGAAGAGAGAAAAGTTACCTCCTCCTCAGATCCCGTGAAGCCTCTGAGGGCTCCTTGTGTGGAAAGCCCTGAGGAGGAAGTTCAAATGCCCTGCACCCAGCACCCCCAGGGCTGTCCTCTCCAGGCCTGTTCCTGCACTGCAGCCCAGGGACACCGCCCCCTCCCAGAGGCAGCCAGATGGGGCTCGCCATGGCTGCCTACTGCCACACAGTGCAGCTTTTTGGTTGGTGGATTTGGTTTGGTTAGAGATGGAGGTGAGCCAGTAGCTGGAGATCTCTACAGGAGGACTCCTGTCTATCCTCATCCTTCACGGGTTCTGCCTTCGCTCCCACCCGCCCCTGCTCTCTAGCCTGGTCCTTAGTTGCCTCCCGGGCCACCAGTGAGGACAAGCCCTCACCTCCTAGGGGGCCCTCCCGAGCCCTTGGGTTTCCTCAGGCGGTGGCCGGGAGAGCCAGGATGCCAGCTCATGGCCAGAGACTCTGGTTTACGAGCACATGCAGAGTCCAAAGTCACCCTGAGCATCCTCTGTCAGAGCTCGTTCCTCCCCGTCCCCACCAGATATGCTGCTGCTCTATGTCTTAATAGTTCAGAAACTTCCCTTTGTAAGCCAAGGATCTGAGTAAAATGATTAGCAATCCAGGAGGTGGTACATGGGCACAGTGTCTGATTTATTTTTCCCCTTCAAAGAACGTGACCGTGAACGAACACGTCTGTTGACAAGTCATATATACACATGGATAGGAGTCATCCTTGCCAGACATTTCACTGCTGTTATCTTTGGGTCAGAAAGTCTAATCCAGCTGTGGGACTTTTCCATACCCCTGATCCAGAAAGGTTCGCCAGCAGAGAGAATCTTATAAATGCTCCTTCAGTGGGAAGGACGCATTAGGAAGGAAGGCCCTACTCTGGGCTTCTGAATGCTGAACTTCTCTCTAGAACTGGAGATGCAGGAAGAGTGTGGGTACTGCAGGAGCACTTCCTGGGTTTGGCTCCCAGCTCTATCACTCACTAGGTCTGTGACCTTGGGCAAATCATGGTGGGGGGGGGAAATCACCCCATGCCTCAGTTTCCCCATCTGTGAAATGGGAAGAATACTCTCCCCTGCCTCATGGGGTTGCTGGGAGGAGTGAATGAGCTGCTTCTCCATAGTATATAGAGCAGGCCCTACACACACAGCCTTCGGTCCTTGTCAGCGGTCGCTGCTAGTATTTTTCTTATCACTGCAACTGATTATGAGAACCAGCCTTCCCGGGCCCCTTGGCTTTAGCTTGTGATCTTTTCCCTTATGTCCACAAAAATGAACCCGCCGTAATTTCTGATTCCCAATCCTCATCCATCCCGTGTAAGAGCAGGAGTGCCGCAGGCATCACGAGCTCAGGGCCGGTTCTGCAGACTAGCATGGTGTGTGTGTTCCCCCGCCTGCTCACAGCTTCGTAAAGTACCCAGCCAGCCTGCAGCTCCGGGCAGCTGGGGACACTTCCGGAGCAGAGCGAGTCGCCTTTCCTCTTGACTGGCGCTGAGGGAAGTGCAGACCCGGACCAGTGACCCACTGTTTATGCTTCCCAGCTCAGATGCAGAGAAGCCGCCCCCCAACCCCCACCCGGAACCCTCCCGTGCCAGCCTTGGCATCAGGAGCCAGAACCAGTCAGGCCCTGTCTGGTCAGGCCTTGGCCAGCCCCACCCCACACTCTGCCCACATTTCCCTTCCGAGCCTCAGGTCTGTCCGTCCCGGGTCCCCACCTACCTCAGGCTGGTGAGCCCAGGGTGGCAAAGGTCAGGAGCCGTCTCCCACAAAGGCTTTTTCTTCTAAACCCAGCCTGCTCCCCCCCATTCTCCTCCTCACCAATCCCTGTGTGTGCTCCTCTTGCAGACGGGTATGCCTTCTCTCAAGAAGAGCATGGAGCTGTTACTCAGGAAGAAATCGTCCGTGCTTATGACACCACCAAAAAGAAACTGAGGAAGAAATAAGATGTGAGTCCTCCTGATTGATCCCAGGAAAGAGATGCGGTTTGTCACACCCAGTGTTAACACATCTCTGTCAGAAGAGACTGGTGTCAGCAGCCAAAACACCATAAAACCCATTTCTGTGGCCTTAGCCAACCAGTTTGTTAGTTCCACGTTCCCTCGCAAACCTGGAGTAGATCCCACAGGGGAAGCCATGTTGTTCCCTTCCAGTTCGTCCGCAGTGCTTGGCCTGACTTCTGTTTATGTTGTTCTGAAGCATTCAGCTGTGCTCTGTGAGGTGTGAAATTAAAAACGTTATGTTCCACCAATATTTAAACATCAGTACTAGTTGTTCTGGGAGAAAGGTGAGAGTTTTATGTTGCGTGAGAAACCTGCCTTGCGAAATTGGAGCGGGGGCACGCTTCCTTCCTGTTTTGTTCACTCACAGAGGATGTCCGCCAGGCAGCATGTAAACGCCACTGTAGGCAGGTTGATGTCTTGCTTGGTTCTGATTCCTCTCTTGTTTGTATGAAGTGGGCATACACTTCTTGATGGCAGTGAAATCCCCAAAATGTCTGTTATCAGGCTGGTAACCCTGAGAAGGCGTCTCTGAACCTCTTAGCCACACTCCCGGCAGGGCAGGCGGGCCACTGTTCGAGCATCCTCCCGCTCCCTTCCTAGGTGCCTTCTGGGCTGTCCCGGCTTCCTGCGTCTCGGACCTCCTGCATGGCTGACCGCTGTGCTCAGCGCATGGCAGCTGGTACGCAACCAGCCCAACCGTGCACTATTTCTTGTCCTAGCACAGACTCAGATATGGATGCAAGAAATCTCACCTGCCACCACCCTTGTCCTAGAACTAAAGAAAAGAAGCCTAGCTATTTGTGCATATTCTAAATGTTTATCTTGCTCTCCCAGGACAGGGAAGCCTGCAGGTCAGTGTGGGGTAGAATGCTTCGGCGCTCCCTCTCTGGTCAGGCTTTCCATACTCATTCCCCAACCTCCAGGCCACTGAACCTTGGGCATTCACTTCAGCGAGACCCACACGTGTTTTCTCGGGAGTTCAGACCCCATTTTGGACTTTCCCTGCTGGGAAACCAATGAATGTGCAGCATGTCTCCCCAGCGAAGGGATGCACCTGTTGCTCTGTAACTCTAAAATTAGGCAGGATGAATGAACCCAGTGGGAGAGTTGGGGCACCTGAGGCTGGTGGGGGAAGACCACCATCAAAGGGGACAGCGAGAGGCAAGGAACACAGAGACCCGGGGAGGAGGACAGAGAGGACATGTTAGCCAAGACTCCTCAGTGGACATCGAAATCAAGCCCTGAATCCCAGGCAGTTGTGATAATGCGTGCAGGAGGCTAAACAAGACGCTGGCACACAGTTTTAAGCAGCAAGACTTCCAGACATTTCAAGGAAATGCCCTTTTCTGCATGGATGAGGTTCCCATCCTTATCCAGTCAGTGGTAGATGCAGGCACCTCCGAAAAGAAAGTGTCCTGACTCTAAGATAAGGAGAAGTGCTGCTTCACTGACTTGCCAAACTTCTGGGTCCCGCCTTCTAAATTTGGACAGAACTTGCCTGCCCTCGGGCATGAACACGAGCACCTGGAGCCCTTAATGAATGGCTAGCCTGGAGGCACGCTCCCTCCTCTGGGCCTTGCTTGCCAAACCAGGTTTTTGGAAGGCTTCACACAAATACTTCTGGGCCGCTGCTACTGCTTAGAATGGCGCCATTCTTCTGGGGGATGGCTGCGCCAAACTGGGAAATAAAACAACAGTGCACTTTGCTTCCTCACCCATTATTTTTGGAGCATCCATGTCTTATTGGGCATTGTAATAACTTAAAGTATGATTTGCACGGACAAAGAAAACTAACCCTTTGCTTATGACGTGACCAGGATCCAGGGAGGGCTTAAGGGGAACCAGAACATGCAGAGAACAGGTGAGGCTTAGAAAATTGCCATTCCTTCCTCCCCGAGTTGGTAAACTGTTTTTACTAGAGCACCCAGTGAAATGAATCCCTGAAGGGCTGCCGTGCAGGAATTAGGACCCTCCCCCACAAAATGTGCCTGGAATTAACAACAGACTGAGGTATGGGTCTTTATTGGACACCCAGAGAAGTGATATCGTAAAACTAGAGGTGATATCCTAAAATTCAAAAATTTTGAATCAAATGTTCTGTGGGCCTCCTCACTCTGGTTTCATTTGGAACTAAGCCTCTGGAAAGGGGAACTCAAACTCATTCTTTGTCAGACACTTAGCTCTTTCTTAAACTTGAAGCCTTCTGAATTAGATTTGTGAATTGCGGTGTGTGTATGTTTTGTTTTGGGTTTTTTGTTTTTTATTTATTTTTTTTTTTAGGCTAAAAGGCAGTTCACATTTTCTGAGGTTTGAGTATGTTTTCTGATTCTTTTGACAACTGGACTAAACAGTGTTTGCGATAATGAAACGCGCACATAGAGGAAAATATTAGATGGGATGCCTTTCTAGTCTATTAATTCTCATATGCGATCAAGCTATCTGGTGGCCAAATGACTAAATTGGGCTTCGAGGAGGAGCAGCTGTCACTACGTGTGATGTATGATATTTAGCTGTGGCCAACTCAGGGGCTGTCATTTGTCCTATCTTCAAACTGAGGTCAGAGTGTCACACATGCCCCTCCCCAAGGAGCGGGGTGGACTGGAGTAAGTTGCATTCTCTGGTTGTCAGCTCAGTGGAAATGCCACATGGGACTCGTCACTCTGCCACATGGTAATTGACATACGGGCTGGCAGGTTACACTTGGTCAGCACTATAGGGCCGGCCTCTGCATTGGGCTAAAGTAGCAGAATCCACTGAGGCCTGGCCTTGGTCTGCTGTCCTATGCAGATTACCGACTCTCATTTAAGAGTTTGTTCCATTCTGGCTGAGACTGCGGGAGGGAAAGAGCGGCCCTTCCGTGCGTTAGTTCCGGGTCCCACTGCACACCAGCAGGGACCCGCAAGGGGGGCCTGGGAAAGTGCCCATTAAAAAGGCAGGATAGGAGAACAGACTAAACAAACCATTTTCTGCCCTGTTGTCAGAAGCAGTTTCATTGCTTATGAGAATGGGCTTCATAAAAATTTTGGGGTGTGGCTGATGCGTCCATCCTGCCTCTCTGTGGAATATTCAGGACTTCTTGACCAGTGTTACGTTCGCCCATCTCCCGGCACACGTGTGATCATTTGGGGGTGGCAATTAGTAGAGTACACAAAACCTGTGCTTTGGAGAAAGGAGATGCTGTTGCTTTAACATTTGTAGAGTAATATCCTCAAACGTGAACCTGAGTTTTGGCAGAGCATGGCTGGGAACTCTGTTGACATTTTCTTTTCCTTGACAAGGCTTCAGGTCTTGCTGTAGGGAGCTGGCGGTGAAAATCAGTGATAACTTGTCAAGAAGCAGTGAATAATGGGGGGGAAAAAGTGAGTATGAGTAACTAATGTCTGAAAATGCATATAGATGTATATATTACAGGCATTATGATTGCATTTTTTTAAAAGAAAGCTATAGTCTGTAATCTCCATTTGTTATAACAATGACCCTTTATCTCATTTCTTGAAGAGAATTTTTTATCCTATTTCTGTTTCTAGGGGTTTATGTCTCAGATCATAAGTTGAATAGAACGTTCGCAAAGCTCTGCAAGGGTATAAGGTAGTCTTTCGGCTTGAACATGGGAAGGAAGTGCACACGTTTCAGCTGGCATTTGGCTTACTACCAAGGGTCATTGTCCCAAGGTAATTCAAGGAGCAGTCCAGCCTCAGCATTTGAAATGTAGACTTCATCTCCAGGGATCCATAAAAAATGGGAACAGGGAAACTGTGGTTAAACAGAGCCCAAAATAATAAACTGGTGAAGAAATGAGTTTAGCAGATCAAGGTAAAAGATGGCATCCCCCATCAGATTTGCTAAATACTTTCTTCATTCCAAGGCTTTTCTTAGCTAATTTAGTAATGCTGGAGATAGTGAAAAGGCAACCAACCCCTCTCAGATGGAAAATGTACATCTGCTGTCTTTGCTGCTGGTGTTCCATCGGCTCAAGACAGTTGTTGGTCTCAACACAGCCTTGGGGGAGTTTTTGTAGCCTCATCCTGGCCACTTGCCCATCCTCAGAGGCAATGAGAATGGCACTGAGGATTTCCAGTGGGACATAGAGGTGAGAGTCCATAAGTATCCCCGAAAGAAAGAGACCTGAAATACTCTAACTTGATGCGTTGTACTCATTTATTTTTTCTCAGCATCCCATATCGTCCCACAGTACACTTTTCCTTTGACGTTAAAGAGCTTGCCTGAATGCCAAGCCTCCACTAGCGCTCTGCGAAAGGCTCTCTCTTAGCTTGTTAGGTCTGAGTGTGGCCACCCGGCATGTAGGCTTCAACGGGAAGAAAAGGCTACTGAGCTAACATGTTCAGAAGCTGTGACACAAAAGGGGGCAGAAAAGAGGGGCGAGCTCACCCTGTTGCCCCACCCCAAGCATAATCCATAGCTGTTCACTCTGACAAGCACCTCTGCCCCCCTGATTGATGGGAGACAAAAGAGTGATTCTTTGAACACTGGCTGGCTCATTTTCAATGACAATCTCTTCCCTAGTTGCCTTAGAGACATCCACTCTGCTCTTTCTCTCAGGCTCCAGACCAAGAAAAACATGCTCCCAAGATTAGCCCATCGGCATTTCTTCTGACCTGGCTAAAGAAAGAAAGGAGACCTGTTCCTTTTAAAAGTCAGGAACAAAGTGTCAGGTGGCTTTGATTTATGACAGAAATAGGAAGAAGAAAGTTGAGGTAATAGCGCTATCCAAATAACACTGCCCAGGAAACTGAGGGGTCAAGAGAGCTTATCAATGGCCTTTTATAGGCCAGCTCTCCGAGTAGCAGAGAAAGGGCCAGAAAAAGGGGGACAGCCTGAGTGGATGTGAGATTCACATCCTATGAGGATGTGAACCCACTTCCAATGGCGTCTGATTCAGGCATCCCCGAAGACCGCGATGCAACCACAGGTGGACCAGTAAATACCAGTTAAAAAGCAGGAAAAGAGAATCTGCCCTGTCCTAGGGCTTCTCTCCTTCCTGCAAGATCCCCACACAAGTGGGTACTTTGCAGGTTTTTCATTAACAAAATCAGTGTGTGTGCCGACACGCATTCCTCTGCCTTCCTTCTCCCATGTTGCCGGCGATTACTGAGTTCAGAAGTGTGCCTGCTGCTTCCCTAGGAAGCCTCCCTCTGAAGGGCCCTGCTACCACCCGGCCAGCTGCAGGGGTGGGGCCCTGGGGGCTCCTCCAAGAGCAGCTGGGTCTGCAGCCCTCTTGCGTCCTCTTTCCTGTAGGTCACTGAATTGCTGTTTGAACACAACATCTTTGTGGCGTCTTTCTCAAGCCAGCGAAGCCATGTGCCCTCCTGTCTGCTGTCGCATCTGTGCTCAGATTGCTTAAATATTGTTTGCGACAGGGAGGTTTTAATCTGGTTATGCAGAGGGAAGCAGGGCTGTGGGGCACGTTTAATTGGCTCCCAGCAGAGTAGTGAGTGCGTCTATGGAGTGTGGGGGGGTTTTTGTTCCCTCCCTCTAGAAGTGTTACCATTTTCACGTCCTATTAATGTCCTCTGGTTGTTAAATTACAGCCGCACGTTGTAGCAGAGCTGGGGTTCCCTCCTGGAGTGAATACAAATGAAGGGCACTTATTTGTATTTTTAGAGGTTTTGGAAAATGTAGTGATTTGTGGCTTTGATCAATCCTGTTGACTGGTATATGTCTGCACAAACCTGTTTCAAATAAATCTTTTGTTAAAGTAAATGATTGGACCGTGTTTTATTTTGTAATTTGCTCTTGCACTAGTAAGCATCTGATGCCATAGAGACTTGGGACAGCAATACAGAGGTTCTGTCAGTAGATAGAGGCTATGCATACACTCTGCCCCGAGAGCTGATGGCCAAGGAAACGCCGTTCGATGGCAGGAGAGTGGGAAAATCTGAATCGTAGATTAACATGTGCTCTGCAAGTCCCAGTCCTCTTCATGAGAGCAGAGTCCAAAAGGCTCTGATCTGAGGTTGGACTGATCATGCAATGGGAGGAACTGTACAGAGAAGGGCTTCTCCCATCAACTGTACTCCCCCTTGGTTTATCTCAGTTTCCCTGCAATCTGAGATTTGAAAAGTTCAAATTCTATTGTCAAGCATGAAGTAACAAGACCATCATCGGATGGGTACCGAACACACCACCCAAAGTATGCTACTCTGACATATTGATTATTTTGAACTAAAGGCCATTGACAAACAGTAGATCTGAAGGGAGGGGTCTCTGACCTCCCCCTTCTACCTGAACACAGGTCATAGCATTGCCACGGAGAAAGGTACACTCCCTGCACCGGGAAGAGAATGTTCTTATCCCTGGAGACTGGGGGTGGATGCTGGAATGGACCTGTACAAACAGACCAACTGAAATAACCCTGACCTTCCATTTGTTTCCCCTGTATCTTTCCCAAGGACTGTCCCACAGTTTACTGACCCAGCCCAAGCTGTCCGGTCGCATTCCCAATTTATCTTTCTTTGTGTAAAAAGGTCCTAAAGGACCTAATGGCTTCTTGGGGTCTTCATCTTCCTTCTGAAGATTCCCACATACATGTAAAAATATTAAATAAACTTGTGTGCTTTTCGCCTGTTAGTCTG